GAAACTAGGTATAACTAAAAAGAAACTAGGGTAACTTAAAAGAAACTAGGTATAAGTTAACTTAAAAGAAACTAGGTAGTAAGCTAACTATTCTTCTTGCTTTGATGTGTAAACTGCAGCAGCTTTAACTTTTTGAGATTTCCCTCTGATATAATGGGCATTTGGGGGAGAATGCAGCATGTGAAGTATTGATGTAGGTTCCATATGTGCAGTTTGAACAGTTTACAGTTGATACAATCCGGTACGTCTTCTTTGCAATTCCTTATGGAGTGAGGTCCGCCACAGAAAGCGCAATAAGTCCTAATATTTGCATGTACTACCAGAATGCGAGAAATCTTCGCATCTGTAGCATCTCCTCACTCCGTAGAATTCTGCGATTGGGAGAGTGTTCCTACGTTCAATACATATTGATAGAGTACGAGGGGAGCATTCGAGAACCTACTTAATGGTGTTGGGGTTTTTGCCTTTTGTGTAAAAAAGAGGTGAAATCTTCCCTTTATCAATCCTTAGTTGGTCGACCAATTCTTCGAGAACTAATTTTGGTGGTAATGTATTAAGGATATTATTGATTGAGATTTTTGGTTTTTTAACCCTTGGTATTTTTATTTCTATTAAGTTATTTGCTTCTTCGGAAACGTTTATGGCGTTAGTAATCTTGTTGAGTTCTTCCTTTGAAGTGCTGCTGATCGCGATGCCTCCATTCTTAATATTTGCTATATAATCAATATTGGTATTTATTTCTTTGAGGGGAAGGATCTGATTTAGTTTCTCTGTAATATGGCATTTTAGCTCTTGCTTTGGGTATAGCAAAATAGTTGGGTTATTTTTTCTTGGTACCTTTGCTACAGCATTAGCATATGAAATTTTAGGAACATTATTATCCTCTAATAATGACGGCATTGTTTCTGTATTAATTAAGTCTGTGGTGGAATCATCGCACTGACATGTGACGGCGTGGGAGGGATGCGGAATACCTATCGGAAACGGAACGTCGCTTACGTTACTGATCCCATTACTTGTAGCAATATCTCTGAGCTCATCGAGCATCTTTTTAAGCTTTGTGAACATTCCTGGTGGGATGATGCATTTTCCGCCTCGTCTAGTACTGGCTAGATCTAGACATGCATGATAAAGATTTACGGCTCTTATATGCGTTTCTTGGCGTACTGTTGCTGCTTTTTCCGGTGGTAAGTTTCTTCTATTGTTACAATTTGCTAATGAAACCGTTCTCCGTGTTCAGCACCGTTATTACCATTATTATCAGTAAAGAAATTCAAATGAGAATGGACAGCATGTGTTTCTGGAAACATTCTCGACATCTAATCTTTCCGTATGATGTCACATGCTTCTTTACTATTTGTTCCTAATTTTCTATTCTTCCATTCCTTCGAAAAACTTGTCAAACTTATCCAAATGCACTTTATGTTTCTGCACCTTCACTCATTTTCTGTTCGAATCAAAAACCAAATAACAAATCATATATTTTGAGATCCAAAATATGTACCTCATTTTATTTTCTTCATGCGTAGATTTGGAAATTTGATGGAGAAGTATTATAAGATCTTTTTGCAATACCTTTAAGTCTTTATCAATCCCGATTCGGTATGAAATGGGGAAGCAGTATCTTCATTTTATCTACAAGGAGGTTGTGCAGTAACATTTCATGTTGAAATATAGGTGGATTTTAGTCCTTCTTTTTATAATATAAATTCCTGATAGTGCTGTTTCACTCTCACGGGAAACAAAAGTATTTTGTATAACTCTGTTGCAAACGCGAAAGAATTGCTTCCAACAGTATTTCTATGTATAGCTTAGGTGGTTACAGATAATAACTCCTCTTTTGTTATACTAAAAAGAAAGAAAATAAAATTTTTTTATTATATTTTCGCAACCACTAGCCCCAAAATTAGGAAGACTTGCCAATAATGTAACATTATGAGCAGGCAAGTTTTATTTCGAAATGCTTTAATACAATATTGAATCTTAAAATTCCCTCAAACTGCCTCTTCGCGTATACCAAATACTATCATTTTGCTAAGGAAATGCTGTCTCTGTTTTATTCTCCTTTTTCATATGTTTCCTCCAAGTAAGCTGCTGATTAAGGCATTAAATATATTTCTGAGAGTTGAAATTTATAAAATACGAAGGAATGTAGTTATCAGCATCATGTTTATTTTATGAATTACTCACATTTATATTGGTGAATGAAGTCTTCTGACTTTCAGATAATTTTAATTTTCGAAATATGCCGAAACCAGTGCCTCAAAGTGGCAAAACTAGCAACAGTTTTATCGCTGCCATGAAGTCATAAATAATTCCTTTCGTATTTGGGAGGGGGTGAGATTGCAGTCCAAGAGGTTTCAATCTATGCTAGAATTTTATCTGTCATACTGGATAGCGGGTGCTATCTTGCCAGCTTCTCACACCATGCACCAAATGTTTTCACATTGAGAAATATTTAAAGAATATCGAGTGAAGTCAGCAGCTAATTCTCTATTCTGGGCGTGTTGAGCTAGGTCAGAAGTCGAATATGATAAGATTTAAAATGCATTTTGGGCATTTATTTACTTTACATCAATTCTTGTTACTAATTTCAGTCCTTTTTATGAATTCCAAATTACTATCGTGAAGGACTTGATCATGGAGCCATATAGATCAATTAAATGAAAGAAGGAATGATGCAAGATTAATATAAATAAATTAAAAAATTCTTTCTAAGATTTCACTAAGCATTTGATAAGTTCATGAAAACTGTGGCTATTTTGTTATTTTACAGATGTAATAGTAATATTTGATAGTGAAGTGTTTACTAATGAATGAATAAAAGTTGCATTACCAAGAGCTTTCGCGTATGAGAAGGTTTTGTTCAAATTCTTCCTTCGCAATGAATGATATATTTTATTAAAGATATTGGGTGAAAGAATAGGAGCTAACCGAGAAGAATAAAAGAAGAGCCAATACTTTTAAGGAAATGTTTCGTTCATTGGTGGAGAAAGCGTGGCAGAATTTGTGCTTGCAAAACTTCAAAATATCAGTCAGGAATGCAGTTTTAGAAATTCATGTAAGCTGTTTCCCTTTTTCCAACTCTTATAACTTATATGTGGCCTATGGTTTAAGTCCGCTGAATGTTGGTAGTTCGACCTGGTTTGGGTTCGAATCCAGACGAACGGTTGGCTGCATGGTTGCTTTTCGGGGTTTTCCCCATATGTAATGTGATTATGAGCCAGTTTACCTATTGAAGTAACCTAACCATTTCATAAGTTATTGTTTCGAAATTGTAGACTTATTACAATTCATTGACGGTATTTAAAATTAAGCATATGCCATGTTTAGAGACGATATAAGGCAAAGGCAGTTCATACTTTCCTGAAATGCATCGCTTTCTTCCAGAAGAGTCATCAGGCTGCATTTATTATGTAATCTTTCAAGGCCTATAGGCTTTAATTTAATAATAGAAGAGTTCAAACCATATAATAGTAATTTTATATATGAATTATATAGAGAATTATTAAATTAACGCAACGAAGAGATGTCTTATTTTAAGAAATTTTCGTAAGTAATAAAATTAAGAAGATTATTTAAATTTTAAAATATGATATTAAAAAAAATAAAGCATTTTAAATTTTCAACATATTTCACACATAAAATAATACTATTATTAATTGGCAATTTTTAAAGGAATAATAATGATCTAGAAAGTAATAAGTAACTACTATTTCATTTTTCATAATTAAGTACAAATATTTCAAGATCATATTAGAAATTAATTTAAATATATACAGTTTGTATTTATTTTCCGCATCGATGAGTTTAAAGTCCCTCTGACTTTTTTTGTTCGTAATTTCCACAAAATATCAAATTAGGAGTATTTTTTATGTGTATTAGATGTAGAGTATTTGACAGTATTTGTACTGATTTTACAAAAAGGGTATTATTAACTCCTTAATTTGTTTGCAAGCATATAAAGCACACACCTTTATGCGATTAGGAGAAGAAGTATTAAATGATTTCTTCCTGTAGAGTTGAAAATACGGCGCTAATAATTTTGCTCAGACTCATACCTATATCATTGTTTATTTCCACACAAAGCAGATCTTAGCAATGATAAGATTAAAACATAACAATATCTTTCCACCGAATGAAAGATCTTAACACTTTTGTAAAAGAAATTCACGGATTTTCTCCTGATTTCTGTAAAATTCACCGTGAAAAATTTTGAAATTCCGCAAAATCATCAATGTATTAACAATAATGATAATAATACAATACTATTTAATAATTTAGAAATATTTTCAGTTTGCGTATGTTGGTTATTCTTTGTTCTAAGCATTTGTAAGGTTTATCCTAAGTTTATAACAGTTATTTTAAATTTATCACACTTTTCTATCTGTTCTAATTTCCGCTTATAATTCCTTACCAGAATAAGTTTTTAGAATCGCGTTAAATACAAATGAGAAGGAGTGGTATTTAAGTCAAAGTTCCATTGACCTGAGAAAGAGAATTAGATTTCCTGAGCAGCGCGCGTTCGCCTTTTGACTACGTCTCTCTAAGTTGTTACTACGCTCGGCCGTATTATGTGCCTTTACATGGCTTCGCTAGCTAATTTAATATTACGGGCTAACTCGTTTAGAAATTGTGTTAGCTTCGACTAAATATATTTAGTCAGTCATTAGTTATGTTATTATTTAAGCTCTAGTGGAGGCTTTGTTGTACGTTCTGACAAAGGGACCACCTGTTAACCTTTAGTTTGAGCAATAAAGGCTAATTAACTCTTCTTCAGTTTTACGTTTCTGTTTTTGGACTTAAGCAATTATTCGCTTGGCTGTTCAATAGGGTCTCAACACTTATTTAATTGATAAAAGGAAGGATCTCTGCATATTATTCCTTAATTTATTTATTAAATCAAAGCTGTAAATCCCATATTTCTGGAGCAACGTTCAATAAACTAACTTTAAAGTCTGTCAAAATTTAATTCTAACACAAATAAATCTTGTTTTTAGATTCCGCCGGAGGTTATATCTTCTGGAAATCGTCTCTTCATCCACTTCCATTCTGACGATTCAATTGAAGCAAAAGGATTTGCTTTGGCCTATTCAGAAATCATCATGACTGATCATGACCTGACTGATCATTTGCACCTTCTATGAAAGATCAAATTAGAACGGTCAATTCAGAAAATTTGTAAAACTTGTGTGATGTGAATAATAAATGTTACTTTGGAAAAGATTTGCTTTTTTTATTTCTTTTACGAAAATACAATTTTACATCCAACATATGAATTTTTATGTTATTATAAAAGGTGTTCAAAAGATTTATAAATATACAAAGGATAGGAAATACTTGAAAGATAAATTGTAGCATTTATGTTGTCGCATTTAAGTTTTGCTAAATAAATGTTATTTAATTTATATATTGCCTTTATTTTTTTTTCAAAATTTGTGTAGATTTTAGGAACAATCAGTTTTACTGTAAAGTTAGAATTACGAATAGCAGTGTGTGAAGGCTTTAACCGCAACTGCCTTGTCGTATAAAGTTTTGTTGGTGGCTCCAGATCTAGTCTTGAACTGAAAATTGTAAAATAAGGATAGATCCAGTTTTGGTAAGAGGACAGTTTGAATTTCTGTCGAGGTCCTGCCGAAACTTGAAATCTCTGTTACATTTAGATTAAGTTGTTCATTTTATAACAATTTCAAAGAAGTTTGCGTTTAAGCCATGGTTAGTCGCCTGGTAACTTTATGTTACATATTTTAATTTAACTCATTACAAATGGTAAGACTGAATACATTTAAAGAAATGTTATTTCTGTAGCTGTTTGTTTTCGAGTTATATATTCTGGTGGTGATAATTCATCTCACAGAATCTACGTAGTACATTATTTTTAGTGTAACTGAGCTAGCAAACTTAATTTGAACGCACAGCAAGTCGTAGAACATTTCCGAACGGACTATTCAGGCATCATAGTATACATATAAGCCTTGATCTAAAACAGTACTGTCAATGTTCGTTTGAGATTCCCTTTTATTTTTCTTCATGATTATTAAGTAAACAATGTTTCCAGGCTTGGGAATTGTATTTTGAGCAAATAACGTTGCACGTCTCAAAATGGGGCAATTGCACTAGTGAAATTTCTTCCAAATATCAGCAGTTTGAATTGCAACGTTATCCATTACATTTTCATGGTGAATCACTATAATATACTAACCCGTTTTGTCTTATTTGTCTGTATATTCAGAAGCTACGCAACAATCTGAAGTAATTATATGCTGAGTATTAGAAAAATGAAATGTATCTCACTACTCGGTTTTAAAAAAGAACACTGCAACCATTTTTTAGAGTTTAGATGCTTCTTCAGTATGGTCAAGAGTTTCATTTGCAGAACATCATGCAGCAGAAATTTTATTTACCGTATTTCCTCACGTACGTTTCCCCTTTTTTACTAATATTATCGTTCTAAAATCGAAAGGAAAAATTATGTTAGTAATTTAATTTTCGAAGAGCGCAATTACAGAAATAACATTATAAATGAAATGTAGTCATGCGTAAACTACGGGTAACTATTACAAGATTATTCTTTAAAGGAAACCTACAATCCATTAAGAATACATATTAATATTAACATTAAAATACCTAATAATATATCTTGAATTCTCTTTCCCTACAACTTGAATTTCGCCCGTCCTTGTTGTTGTCCACTCACATAATATGATGTTGCTAGAAGTGCTTATCTGTGTCGTCTTCTACAACTTGCAAGTCGTCACCATCATCTTCCTTACCGTTAATTCCGTCTTTTCATGTGTAATGGTCTTGTAAACCATCGAGAACATTATCTATCCCTTTTATTATTATTTCTTCATCAGTCAGAGTCCATGCACCCAAAATCTAAGAGAAAAATCAATTTAGTGAATGGTCTCTGAATGTTTCTTGTTCTAGTAAAATTGAGAGATCCTGCTGCTATCCGCTCGTTTTAAAGCTTTCGTAGATTAAAAAGGTTTATACTCTGATCTAGTTGCTGGAGTGATGTCAGTCCTCCTGGAATAATGACAGAAACGGTGTTTGTTTTCATTTTCTATGAGATAACATTGTATAATTTCCATACACTTTTAACATATACTTTCATTAAGACATCCACCCTTTCTCGGATATCCTAATTATGATATGACAAGGGATTTTTGTTTTGGAATCGTCTTTCCTTTTAAAACTGCAAAAGGCAGCAGTTTTTTACCGTCAACGGTTACTACTAACATCTCTGTAAAAAGCACTTTTTCAACTCCTTTAGTTTCCATTAACACAGAAGATGTCCCCTTTTGATTTACAGTAGTGCAATTAAGCCTGCCGAAAAACACAGAATTGTTTTTTCGCTTCTTAGATTTCAAGACCATAATTGCAGTCCTTTCTTTGCTTGATGACGATCCTGTGAAATTCCAATACCTTTTCTTCATAAAGCCTCCCCATAAATACCACCCTTTCTTCTTTAATAGCGTTATGCAGGCATTGTTCTTCTCATTAAACTAAATTCATTTCTTTTCGTGAAACTATTTATCCATCCTCTGGTCGCTTTAAATTGTTGCGCTGTAATATTATGTTTCTTTGCTTCATCCCTCACATTCATTTGTATCATTTTACGCCTGTGCCATTGTTCTTTGCTGTGTCTCGTAATTCTTCACATCATTATCAGTTTCTGGAAATTTACCCGCTTTTCAGTCCCTGAAACGCTCTTTGCTCTGAATTTGTCTTCCTCAATGCATCTTTTTGTTTTCTCGGGGAGGGAATCAAAGAAGCTTTAACACCAACCTGTCTATTTTCAGGTTTGACCCCATAAACTTCAATGAATTTTAAAACTTTTAATTTACATTCAGCGATGCAACTATGATTGTTTTCTTTACCGTGGTTCTGAAAATTCATGCTGCATTGCGCAAGTAGTACACATATCAAGAAAAATTTCCTCTATTAATACTCAATCCTAAATAAAGATTCGAAGCGAATCGATAAGCTAAAGATACGAATATCACGCAGAGCGCAACGTATCCGACTCAATGACCTTGTAAAGACCCAATGGTACCTCACATGAATGCGTCTTGACAGTAGTTCGCAAACTGACATCGGAGGAAGGGAGGAAACAAAGAATCCAGATTTTGAAAGATCGAGCACACTAGCAGTAGATAAAGCTACAGTGAACTGGAACATAAATAAGAGAAGTAAAGTGGAATTACATGTTTGGAAAGTTTCTTCAGTATGATAACAGACACTACGTCCAGGTAGCTTAAGAAAGAATCTCCACAAAATACGTCTCAAAAATGAAAGGGAAATTTAAATGGATGAAATGCTAATACGAAAATGCAAATAAAAAAATAAATACACTAAATAAAAGTAAAAATAAACAAGGAAATACAATTTACCAATAAACTGGCCCTCAGAGGGGAAAGCTGCGTACAGTACGGGCAGTGGGAAGTTTAAACTAAGATTTTTAAAATTTTCAGAAGCTATGGTTGAAACGCTAGTGGAAAATGTACGCGAAGAAATACGATACATTTTTCTGGTTTGCGTAACATCTGACTTAGGATATCTGACAGAATTTCGTCCTATTCCTTTCTTGTATCATTTCAGCCAAAAACGACGTAAACTTACAAAAATATCTGCTTATTAGGTGGATTAGGAGATTCAAACGTGAATAATGCTTAGTTGAAAATCGTCTTGTTGGGTACTATTGCAAATGTATATAAATATGTTTTTCTTCTTCTGGATGTATTTTGAATTTTGTGTATTTTTTCAGTTATTATTTTTTATTTAGAGTCCTTCAAACAATAATTTTACTGCGCATTTTTGTTTGATGGAGTTCATGTCCGCTTAATGTGCTTGCTAATATTTGTTTCCTGTATTATGCAATAGATCTTGTCATTTTAAATCGATCAGCTTCTGAATCGTGAAAACAACTCATTTAAAATCTAGTAAATGTATCCAAATTATCTTCCTTGGTCTCGGAGACAATTTCTGTCTCCAAAGTGGCAATATTTCTCGATTTCAGGTAATTTGGTAACATTTTAGGTTATTTTGGAAAACTCAGTTTCGAAGTGCTGACAGCGCTTGTCCTGGAAGCTTCCAAGTTTCTGGCAATGCTGAGCAATCCTATGAATACAGCTACGTTTGGTGCAGACACTTGAAGTACGGTGATTTCAGTTGATCATAAAATGAGAGTTGATAACGATTTATCCACTTCAGCGTTTGCCCCAAGACAGACTCGTCCGCTTGAGATGGCGTTTTCATCCGTTAGTAACAGCAGACTCCCGTCGGGCTGAAGTGTGGACTGGACCGTGACCTCCGAGATATATTCGTCGCATCATGTTTTTCCAATCTCTCAGAATGAGTCGAAAATGAAAAGAGGTGATTGATGGCTTACTTGGTCACGCTGCTTCCACAGCGGAGCTGTATCAGGAAAGCTAAGAATGGGGAATAACTTTCTCCGAGTGGATACCCCTTCAACACACATCTCGTGAGATCTACGTCAACTTCCTCCCTTCCATTAACGAGCAAAGAGATCTGAATGTTTTAAATGGTCTCCTTTTAATCCTTAACGAGTCCCTGAGTATATGCTCTGTATATTAGCCTCTTAACTATAAATTGCATTGAAATGTTTTACCTAATATATGTATTTTATTTTGTCACCTTAACTGCTACATAGATGGAAATGTCATTCAGTTCAAATTTCATTATCACTATGTTGCGCCAATTATGAATGACATTACTGAACTGAAATTTCCGAAGTTACATTTCATTTTTCAAAACTTGAATAAATTAATATTTTACTCTTTAATCGATATTTTTTATTTTTGAAAGCTGATAAATTGAGAAAGCTGCAACAATAAAAGTCTGGGAAATTTAAAAGAAATAACAGTAATATATGAAATTTGGAATGCTGTAGTGTTGCTTTCATTTTCTTCCTAAATGAATAAATATATTTTGCTAAAAACATTTTTGACAATATTTACTTTTTATTTCTATTTATTTTAAAAGCATTCTGCATAAAAATTAGCCTGTTTCAAAGACGTTGTCTCCGAGATATATTCGATCTTTCTATACAGATATGTCTTTCCAGATCTTTCTATACTTCATATACGAGATAAAGTAAAAGAAAATAATTCACTAATGGAGTAGCCGACTACTTTGGCTTTTTATGATCACACGTGGGATTTTTCTCCTCCCCTTTATTTTTGTTCGAAGGATTAAGTA